ATATTCAAGAACCAAATTTTAATTGCTCAAAAATATTTTCCTTTTAACTCACTGTATTTATAGCAATGTTTGGGATAGAAAGCAGCAACAGCTTTCTAGCTTAACGACTTTTAAAATACAAATTAGTCATCGATTTTAGACTGTTCGGCTTGATGTGATTTCTGTGGTCTAATTTTTTTCTGTAATTTTATAGTTGTTCTAATTCCAAATATATTGTAAGGCGGGTACTCATGACTACATTCGATGTCAACGCTGTCTGCAACAATACATATGCGTTTAAATCATCGTCAGCTCCATAATTGCATTGACGATATCATTATTGTGTTTTTTGAGTGCTCGTATTGCCTTTGCGCGGGTCGTATTCGCTTGCGTGATAACAAGCTCAATGTCCTTCTCATCAACGCCGGTCTCATCTACCTCCTCCTCATCTTCTTCAGCAATAGGTGCCACCGATGTGGTTGTTCCCAATGTTTCGGCAATACTTGCCGCTTCTGGTGCCTTAAATTTCTCGGCAGCTGCGACTTGAGCCTGTTGAGACAAGTCCTCAATCTTGGCTTCACCGAATACAATGTATGTGTCGCTGTGTGGATTCTTATACACGTCGGGGTTGTTAATTACGAACAAGATATTTTTAGACTTGCGAATAGTGACTCGATTAACTCCTTGAATTTGCTTCAATCCAAGTTTTAACATAATCTTACGTGCCTTTTTTTCACCGCGCGACTGTTTGGCCTTCGATACCAAATCTACTGGCAGGCCGGTTGCACCGCCACCCAGCTGTGTGGTTCCACCAGCAGCATCTTCAAGTTCGGGGATACTGTCCTCAGATCCACAATCACTGGCGTCATCTTCAATACGCACCTCAGAGGGCTTTGCTTCAGCTGCCGCTGCAGTGGCGTCCGGTTTTATTTCAGTAACTTCAGCAGTCATGACAAAGATGGGACTTATCTGAATCTGCGAATATTAAAGGTTCGATCAATAAAAAGCTTAGCGAGTACAGATATGTATACATATGTGAAGCTCCATGCTTTAACAAAAACATGCATAAGTACGTTTATTCAATATCAAATATCGGCAACAATATTGCAAATTTCATAATTAAATGATATCATTTATTTAGCAGCAAACGCATACATCATCCTAACAGCCATAAATTTCGCCACCATGTTTCTTAATTCTTTAGTAAAAATCTAATCGGATGACCTTTATATTTTAAGATTATTTACCTGAGAAAAGTTGTACCCTTCGAAGACGTTCAGAAATTTTTTGACAAGAAACAGAATCATCCGTCAGGTTTACCAATCTGATCTCGAGTTTACGACAACGGTGACACCTACATGTGAGAATAAAGTGATTGCCTTAAGGCCCAATTACCCAGAAAAATTAACAACGAAGAACGTAAACCTACGAGGGACAATACCAAAGAACGTAGATAACAATAAGGCAAAACTTGTGACATAAATGCAGTTT